ACGTTGGGAGAAATTTTGATTAAAGAACATTGCTTTAAAGTAACTAGTTTCTTTTTTTTTGTTTAATACCAAAATCCTGCATTATTTTCCGGACAACCCAATAAATTAGTTCCAGAGGAGACCAAATTGATGTTTGATGTTATTGAGACCTTCTTTAGCCACTTCTCATTTTATGTTTGAGTTATCGTTTTAGGATGCAATATCGCTGAATGTTGCGGGAAATGTATAAACCGCTAACGTTCTTATTAGGCGTTGTGAATAAGTGACCGTTGTCAAGGCCTTTCAAGTTTAAACCGACCCTCTGCTGATTTATCTAAAGGACTTAGAGGTCGGTTCATTGCCTACGAAGGGCGTCTTAAGCTACGTCTTTGCACGACGGCTCGATTTTCCTTCCGCCATCCTATTACCCAGACGGTTAATTTAACCGTGAGCGTAGAACACGGTTGAAGGCACTCTGTGTCGGGCAGTCATGCATGGTCCGGGTCCCCAGTACCTACCGCTAATCTAATTTCACCTGGATTATAATTTTTTTCGACGAGGCCCTCTTTGATAGGTTGTTCGGAAGCTCTGGGTTCGATGGCTTGAAAGGATTTGCCGCTATCCGCTCGCTGCCCTGTGCTAATCCGACAACTTGTTAACACAATCCCTCTGGTGTATCCAAAACCCATTCACTCCCGTTCTATCCTTCCAGTACACTACATTTAATTCTGGGTCTCAATTTAAATCGAACACTTTCATTTACAGTTCGTTATTTTTGTTTTATTACATACTAACACAAAGTTGAGTCTTTGAATATTAATGTGGCTTCCATAAATCACTACAAGTTTAGAATTTTGTGTCAAACCGTTAAAATTAATTTACAATTTCTTCTTTAAAAAATCCTGACATGTTTTTGTTCTCATTAAATAAATGAGATGATAAACCGAAGTTAGTAAATACATCTCGATTCAAGGAATAATTGAATAGTTACCTTACTATCCTCGTTGGTTTTGTTGTCAGACGCGTTTCGCCAGTTCACAATCTATGAGACAGGCCAAGATTTAATTTTAATTTATTTAATAAATTTATTGGCGAAAAGTACAGTACTACAGTAAGAAAAAACATAAACAAAGAAAAAAATTTAAAGATAAAATAATAATACCATAAGTAAAAGTCACCTAAAAGCAGTGTTTGTAACAGGTGGCAGGAGTTAAGTCAGTGAACAAAATTGCTAAAAATTAAATCAAAAGGTGTATATGACCAAATAAATGAAAGAAAAAACAAAATAATGAAGAGAGAAAACAAAAATAAAATTCAATAAATTCAAATAAAGATAAAATAGAAATTAAAGAATACCATAATTGCCATATGGTGCCAAATATACCGCAAAGAAAGTTCAAATTATAAATTTAAAATTTTTGCAGTAATAAATTTTTTGAAATCATAATAAGAATTAAATTTGTTAAAATTAATTTTATGATTATAAAGAAACCTAAAAACAGCATTTAATGAAAAATTGAAGTAAAAATTAGTGTTTACTTTGAATATAAAAATATTACTCGCTATTTTTTGTCTTGATTGATACTCATTGTTTGATTCAGCAAAAAGGTTATTTTTAAAGGCATACATACAAGAATATTTTAAAAACAATTGTTTAAATTTTAGAACCTGAAAAATGTCGTATAGTTGATTGGTATTAAATCTGAAAGGTTTAGAAAGAATAGTTCGCCAAAGAGAATTTTGAGTTATGATTAATGGTTTTAGATAAATTACTGGTTCCACCCCATGTAACAATACCATAGCAAATTATAGAATGAACCAAAGCACAATAAACTGATTTTAATAATTTTAAATTTAGCATCTTTCTTAATGCACTGAATTTGTAAAGGAGTTTTCTCAATCGCATAAGCAAAGAATCAATGTGTAACTTAAAATTTAACCTAGAGTCTATATAACTCCGAAATATTTACTATTATTTGTAATTGGTATGGGGGAACAGTTACAGTTAAATGAATTAATACATGTATGGAAACAAAATTTAAAGCTCTTTAAAACTAATCTTTTACTTAATGCAAAAGTAAGACATTGGATTTATCATTATTTAAAAGTAAACAGTTTGAAGATAGCCATGCTTTAACAAGTCTAAGATCATTGTTAACAGACATAATCAAATGATCAATTATTCTTCCAGAAAAAATCAAGCACGTATCATCAGCATAACTAAAAACTTTACCAGGTATTTTCAATTTTAAAAGATAATTAATATATAAAATAAAAAAATAGGGGACCTAAAACCGTACCTTGAGGGACGCCAGAGACTATAGGTCCCATCTCGATCACACCTTTTGAATTTGAGATGGGAAGTTGGTGTTACGATAGCTAAAGTGGTAGAGCAGCGGCGTATTTAGCCGAAGGTAGTGGGTTCGAATCCCTCTCTTGTCACTGACTTTTTTCTCAACCAAGACCTTACTTAAAGATTAATTAATTGAAAAGAATTTATTTGGTCATTCGGACTACGAAACCTAATGAATATATTAGGTAAATATCAAATTATAGGTTCATCACCCCGCAGATCGGGACGAAACTCACAATAATTGAATGTTAAAGAGAACTTAAAGGTTAAGGTACTTAAGAGGTAAAGCATGTGTACAGTTTTATAGAAGTAGAGGATGTTTACCATCAGGCCCAGTAAATTTAGAGTTTAGAGAATTTATAATGAGAAAAAACCTATCAACATTTTGGTCAGAATAGCTTCTTTTCGTGACGGTTGTCGAAGTAAAGTTCTTCTTGTGTTCATTTGTATCAACCTTGGCAGTATCGACGAATGAACAGTAACAACTTGTTGTGGCCCCAGTGGCTTTGTACTGATTTGCATGAAAAACACGGCATCCCTAATTGATTAATCGGCATCCCGTTTGTAGGGCGGGGTTGTGGTTACGATTTGATTTTTGCATCTGTAAATTTTATGGAAGGAGGGGTCATTAAAATGGAAATAATCCCGAGTGAAGAAATGAGAAAGTTAAGGACGAAAGGGCACTTTTAAAAAATCCCGAAGTTTCCAGTGTTAATTCACTGGCTTTAATCTCATCCCCTTTGAATATTTTTACACCTGTTTTGGACGTGATAAACTTAACTTTTCCTCCAGCTATATAATAAATGCGCGGAGACAAAATTAACATAACACGAGTGAGATGTAAAATTGTTTTAATTCAACCCTAATTTACCTCTCTTTGCCTTCCTCTGAACGTTTTCTAATTGTGTTTAGGATTCGAGAAAGGGTTGCTCGGAATGGATTTGCATAATTATGTATTATAAATCCGGAACTCCGTGATTATATGGTGCATTGTAGAAAGGAAGGAAAGTTGTGAATACTAATACATTCTGGTGCTTTTCAGTCCGTCATACTGTGGTCGGGCGGTCCCTCCTTGTCTGACTCCTCATTCAAAAGAGTCCTTTTGTTTCTCACCCGAATAACAACCTATTCTGAGTAAGAAATCAAATATGATACACAAATTATTTGCTATTGTGTGAAATTGTGTGAAAAATTTCTTTGAGATTGGGGACGGGATTAAAAGGAAAATTTGGAGGAAGCTTCGGATAAAAGATGAGCTTCTTTCCGTCCTCCTTCACGAACCACTTCATTTCCTTCAGAAATTCCGCGTCATCAACTCGACAATTCACCCTCGAGCTCAGGTGAGACTCTTCCATAACATATTCTTGCTGATGTTACTTACAATAGATACCTCTATTGTGTTAAGTTTCAGTTAAAGCTAAAATAAAACGGTTCTTTCTTAAATTTTAATTTTTCTGAAAAATAATTACACTTCTATTCTTTTATTTAATTAATTATTTAATTCTTATAATTTGGAGATCGTGAGGTGCGGTCTGGTGGGACGTAGGTTTTAAAAAACCATTTTCTTTATCATGCCAACGTTTCGATCTTTATTAAGATCATCTTCAGGGCTCAAAGTGTTGTTTTCCGTGTAGATGTGTCATTCGTGTCAACTCTCAATACGACACACAAGAATGACACATATACGTTAAACAAACATTTTGAGCCCTGAAGATGATCTCAATAAAGATCGAAACGTTGGCATGATAAAGAAAATGTTTTTTTAAAACCTACGTCACACCAGACCGCACCTCACGATCTCCAAATAATCATTGGCTGACGGTCACTAAACACCACACATTTCTATTCTTATTTGTGATTTGTTTGCATAGATTGGAATGAAAACAACATTTTCATGGAATGTTTCCCAAAATCCCTACTTAAAATTTTCGAAACGCCGCCTTAAATGTAGATATTTAATGTAAATTTGTTTTGTTAACGTTTTGATCTCACTTTTTCTGGGGTTTTTAGGATAAAAACGATTGTTGAGATGAAACAAACTCGGGAATTTGAAAATTAACGAACCCCGATAGCATCTGAATGTGTCGACTGATTGATGTTCTTTATTCAGGTTTAGTTGTACTATTCTAATATATGACCGCAGTCCCAACAACAACAATAAAATAAAACCTCTGACCCCCCCCCCCCCAACAAATCCGATATGAACTTTCCTCCCGTCACCTCCGGTTAATGCCAGGTTAATTTATTACCCGTTTGAACCCGTAGTACGTTATTAAAAAAGGGAGCAAATTTCATTTCAAAGTTACAAAACCGTTTATGAAACGAGATCTCGTTGTAATCGCCGATTTGGGCACTAATGGATCTCTTAACAAAAAAAAATTGAAGGGCGTAATGAACGTTAAACGACGACGTTTACGCCCAAAAAGTTGCTACTTCTATTTAACTCTCATTGTTGCTCATCTATTGTTTTTGCCCAATGGCCTTACGATTTCCTTTCCATTATCTGTATACCAAAAAAAGCCCTCAACAAGAGCGCCTTGTTCTTTTCATCATTAAAAAAATATAATGGCTGACAGGATATTTCTGTAGCGTTTACTTGTAATTATTACTTGTAAATATAATCTTGTTGAGTCTTATTTATCTGATGCCAAAACCTTTTCTCTTACAGAACCGGATTTCGTCGGATCTTTCGATATAGGACAGTACGTGTTTTTCTTTTTCCGAGAGACGGCTGTCGAGTATATCAACTGCGGTAAAAGCGTATACTCGAGAGTGGCAAGAGTGTGTAAAAAGGACACAGGAGGAAAGAACATTCTAAGTCAAAATTGGGCGACGTATCTCAAAGCGAGGCTCAACTGCTCAATTCCAGGAGAGTTTCCTTTCTACTTCAACGAAATACGTAAGTCGCCTTAAACTTCAATCAAAATCAATTAATAGTAAATGCATTTCTATATCCATATTATAAACCACTAAAAAAAATATTCTTTTCAGAGAGTATTTATAAAGTACCCGGAATCGATACGAGATTTTACGGTACGTTCACGACCAGCACGACTGGGCTGATGGGCAGCGCGATTTGTGAATTTGATCTGGAAGATATCCAAAAAGCTTTCAGCGGAAAGTTCAAGGAACAGGCGACTTCCAGTTCTGCCTGGCTGCCGGTCTTGTCAAACAAAGTCCCAGAACCAAGGCCGGGACAGTGCGTCAACGACACAGAGACGCTGCCAGGTAATTTCTTATAAATTTAAACACTTCTTCATTATCATAAAAATGGTCTTGTTCTCTTGATGAGACCTACATTATTCTAAAAAGTAAGTACTAGCTCTTTAAGAACACATTTTGTCACATTTGCTAAGCTTGCAAATGCCAATCCTTTATTTAACATTTATTTGACCTCTTATATTTTATGCTTCTACAATTTTTACTGTTCTCTAAACTATAATTCCTAACATCACAGAATTCACACTAATTGGTTTATAAAACTAGGAGCCTAATAACCTCTCGCTACCTATCAAGAAAGACCTGTTAGCCAAATATTGATTTGTCATAAAAAAAGGTCTTTGCTCTCTTGATAAGGTCGAGATTGTAATAAAAAGTAAATAATATCTACTTAAGAACATATTTTGCAATGTTTGCTGAACTATCAACTGTCATCCATTTACGCTAAGTGTACCCCAAAATGTTATGAATCAAATCCAAAAGAGAGCAGCAACTTTATTTGAACTTTCACTTCTATCAAGAAAGATTCACTCTTGGGTTTTGGTCTCAAAGGGTTATAATTATTACAACTATTAACTCGAAAGCACATGACATGAAAAATAAACCTTTATGACCCAATTTGTTTGACTTATTTTTTAATTTAATTTCACAATATGTTCTTTTCAGAGCCATACTAATCACTTAGATGTAACTAAAATGAATTTATTGACTAGCTGGAGGCAGAATTATTGACAACATCTTTTATTTCAGATACCGTATTGAATTTTATAAGGTCTCATCCACTCATGGATGCAGCGGTAGCTCATCGAAACGATAAGCCTGTCTATTTCAAGCGCGATTTACTCTTTACACATTTGGTCGTCGATATTCTAAAATACGATGTTTTCGGCGATAAATTAGAATATGTCGTGTACTACGCTGGAACGAGTACGTATTCTTGGGTTTTTATTACAAAATTACAATACAATATACTATAATTTTTTTATTTGTGGCAGATCTCGGAAGGGTGTACAAAATTGTGCAGTGGTACACAGATGAAGGAGAATCGAAATCTGTTCTGCTTGACATTTTTGACGTCACTCCTAATGAACCGATCAGAATCATGGAGATATCAAAAAGGGTGAGGAAAAATCTGCGTGAATATCAATTTTCATATATACAAAGAAAGTTTCTAATAAATACTTTTATTCGTACAGCACAAGTCGATTTATGTCGCATCAGATGAAAGAGTGCGTCAGATTGACATGGTCATGTGCAACAGGAGGTACGATAACTGCCTCAGATGTGTCCATGATCCGTACTGCGGATGGGACAAGGATTCAAACTCTTGTAAACCGTTCGCACCAGGGTGAGTATAAATATTAATTGAAAATTTGTTTAGATTAAAAACTTTACTAATTTCTATTTTCGACAGACTTTTACAAGACGTGAGCAACAGCAGTGCAAGTGTCTGCGACAGCTCTGTCATTAAGAAAAAACTGTCTGTGACCTGGGGGCAGAGTGTTCATCTTGGGTGCTTTGTCAAAATGCCCCAAGTTCTCGCTTCACAAACCGTCACTTGGTACCACTACAGCAAAGAGAAGGGGAGATACCAAATAGTTTACAGGTAATTACTCAAATTTCCCTCCGAAAAAATATATATCATAAAATTTTTAATTATGGAAAAGACTGAAAAACCAAAGACTTTTCATTAACTTTTAACCATATTTAATATGATCAATAATACTAATAATGATTTTTTTAAAATAATAATAATAAAATAAATGATCCACCCAATGGATATTTTGGTTATAGTGGAAGAAAAGAAGACCAGTAAAGACAACACCCCAGAAAACAGATTTTTTTTCTCTAAGAGTTAAAGAAGACCATTATTCTTATCCTTAATATTATTTATACTTACCTAATATTTTACACTTATATATACAGGGTGAATTGCTACTCGTGCTACAAACTTCTCCAGTAGATTCTTCACCCTAAAATGAACAAAAAAGTTCATATTGTCCATGGTCCGATTCTCAACCATTTCAGAGTAATTTCGCTTTTTATCGATTTTGAAAGATATCACGTCCTGGCGTCGGAAAATCGTGATATCTTTTAATCTAAACATTTCTCTGAAAATCTAATAGCACCGTTGAAATTCCCGTTAATTTTTCAATAAGAAGATGACGGTGGCAAAATGTTTGGGCTAATTTTTTGTGTTTTATTTCAGCCAGAACTACAAAAAGAGTGGAAAATTGTGTAAATCGGAAAGTGTATAAAGTAATCCAGAGTTTCTAATTTTAGTCTCAGAAGGCAGCAAATTTGAGGAAAACTACCTGATTTAATAACGCTTCCAACGCACTCGTCATTTTCTTATTTAGTGGTTGTGAGACCAAGATGTTGATGACAAAAAGAGAAAAAATGGTGGTTCAAGGATTGCTAATGTTTGAGAGTGACTTGCTACTCGTGCTACAAACTTCACCAGTAGATTCTTGACCCTAAAATGAACAAAAAAGTTCATATTGACCATGGTCCGATTCTCAACCATTTCAGAGTAATTTCGCTTTTTATCGATTTTGAAAGATATCACGTCCTGGCGTCGGAAAATCGTGATATCTTTTAATCTAAACATTTCTCTTAAAATCTATAAGCACCGTTGAAATCCCCGTTAATTTTTCAATAAGAAGATGAAGGTGGCAAAACGTTTGGGTCTTTCTTCCTTGACCTTCTAGCTGTTTGTAAACTTCTTAAGCATTACATACTAAATGGGCATTAAATTAAATTAAAAAATTTCAATGGAATTATGATTTTGATTCTCTCTAAAAATTAACGGGGATTTCAACGGTGCTTATAGATTTTAAGAGAAATGTTTAGATTAAAAGATATCACGATTTTCCGACGCCAGGACGTGATATCTTTCAAAATCGATAAAAAGCGAAATTACTCTGAAATGGTTGAGAATCGGACCGTGGACAATATGAACTTTTTTGTTCATTTTAGGGTGAAGAATCTACTGGAGAAGTTTGTAGCACGAGTAGCAATTCACCCTGTATATATAAACCAGAAATTCCTGAGATATATTCAAAATTAATGCATAATCATCACAAACACAGACCTCTTCTACTGTCTGTCGGTATAAAGTTTCTTTCCTATATCTTCTTATCTCATTCTTCTTCCGCATATCGTACATATTTCTTTGTCTCTGGATTTTTGTTATTCATTTCTTTTTATAAATATTATTATTTGTTAAACTTCTAAAACATTTTTTTCCTTTTTTAGGGGTGATAAATATATTGAAACTTGTGAGCGAGGACTTGTTATTGTGTCAGTTACCGAGGCTGACTCTGGCCGCTACGACTGCTGGCTAGGTGGCAGCCTTCTGTGCGCGTACAATATAACAGTTGATACGCACAGATGCTCACCTCCAGGAAAGAGCAACGACTACCATAAAATCTACTCAGACTGGTGCCATGAATTTGAAAAATACAAAAACGCCATGAAAACATGGGAAAAGAAACAGGCAGTAAGTAAATTAAAAAATATTTTAAAAAATCCTTTGCTTGTTATTGAATATTGTTTCTAATGTGTGGTGATTAGTGACCGTTAGTCGATGATTATTCAGAAATCGTGAGATGCGGTCTGGTGTGATGTAGATTTGAGAAAAACATTTTCTTTATCGTGCCACCGTTTCGACCTTTATTGAGATCATCTTCAGGGCCTTGGATTTACAAACATTGTTTAAATTTAACAAATACATGTAGGATGTGGAAAAAAGTGAATTTATACAATGCAAAATATATTTTTTATATTCAATCAAAGTATTTCTACTCACTCAAAGTGTTTTCTGCGTGATTATGCCATTCTTGCGTGACGTGCTGAGAGTGTCAGTGAGATATTGCTGTTTTATGTTTATATACGTTGGATTTTGAAGGGGTGGGGAAGGAAGTCGGTATAGAAAAGACATTTTTGTATAAGGAGTCGGCTCTTTTCACCTCAAAAAAGCAGACGCCTTATACAAAAATGTCTTTTCTATACCGACTTCCTTCCTCACCCATTCACAATCCAACGTATATATACATAAAACAGCAATATCTCACTGGCACTCTCAACCGTTACGCAAGAATGGCACAACAGAAAACAAACACATTGAGAGAGTAGAAATACTTTGATTGAATATAAAAAATATATTTTGCATTGTATAAATTCACTTTTTTCCACATCCTACATGTATTTGTTAAATTTAAACATTGTTTGTAAATCCCAGGTCCTGAAGATGATCTCAATAAAGATCGAAACGTTGGCATGATAAAGAAAATGTTTTTCTCAAACCTACACCAGACCAGACCGCATCTCACGATTTCTGAATAATCATTGTTTCTAATATTGTTTTCTTTTCCTTTTGCAGCAGTGCAGTCGGCAGAATGACACGTCAGCTAATCAGAACAATCACCCAAATGAAATATACCATAGAACACCACTGGTTTGAACTGTTTTAATTTTCGCCATTTTAGCATAAACTTAGAGCTCTAGTTTTTAATTATTTTTAACTTATTTTTGTTTCTTTATTTAAACAAACGTAATGGTTATTATTATTATTGAACAATATTTTTTTCCGAAGAAAGCCTTACCTCTTAAACAAGACTGACTGTTTAAGGCTTTCTCAAAAGGCTTTTGTTGTTTTATTAAACAAAAACAAATGTAAAATTGTGTATGTAATCATGGTAAATATTTGTATCATACGTGTTTAAATACTTTCAAATGTTAGCATTTATATTATAACGAAGACCTTCGAGTTATGAGTTACCTATAAGCGAACAATTCTCGCATTTCATTGAACATCTCAATTTTGTCCAAGAAACAATATTGAAACTAGAGCTCAACATTTGGTGTAAATAATAAATAGTTCATTTGAACTGTTGATATGAATTTAACTATTGAAACCTTGTTGTAATGGTTTCAGTGGGTCTGTGATATAAAAAATTAAGTGTTAGTGTTTCATTTCTTTTTACATTTTTTTGTTTGTTTTTATCCTTCTAAAATCTTACTAAAGTGCAAGAGCGAAGTTAAGAATACGTGATTACTATGATAGAATAATTAAGTTAAGTGTACAGTGAACTAAAGTTAAGTAACTTAAGTAGGATAACGATTATAAAAACAAAAAGTCCATCTATTGTGCGTTCCATAGAAGACTTAGAAAAAAATTTTGAGCCTTTTTAATTATTATCCTTGACTTTTTATCAATTTTTAATTTTCAAATTTACAAATTATGTTTCCACTCATACAGAATACACAAGTTCACTTCAATTGGCAAAAAAGAAAGGATACAGAGTTAATATGTTAAAGTAAAAAAATGCAAAAACATAATCACAGTTTTAGTATGCATGAGAGCTAAAGAATGAACAAGTGTGAGTTAAATTAATTGTAATTACCCTTATTAATTTAAACTGAAAAGTAGATGTTTGATATTATGTACTATTTGTTATTTTGTATTTTATTATGTTTAATGTATTTTAAATAAGTACAAATACATATATTTGATTTATATGATAACATTTTTTTTAATTTGCCTTTTTTTTCTAAAGAGGCCAACTTTTTTGCAGTGCTTCTGCAAGATGTAAAATATTGACGATTCCCATTCGATTGTTATTTTTTGTACAAATCAATCAATCGACTCGAGTATTTAAATATTTTTATATGTATTATATATAAAAATATGTTTAAATATTTTTTATTATAATTTCTGTTGACATTCTTGTCCAAACCTGGTTTATCCCCTTGGACCGCATTGTATATCAATTTGTATAACTCGGTGTTAATTGATGTTAATTGTAGAGTGGTAAATTAATTTCTTTTGCCACAATACTACTAGTAATCACATTTCAAGGGACAGAATGATTTTGTCTATGAATCATGAGAGCTCTGGAAAAAGGGAGACAAAAAATGTTTTCAGTCACAAGAATTTCATAGCAATGTTTTCTACTATTGAATTTAATTAAAAAATAAGTGTTAAATTCCATTGTACAATATTGCAGATAAAAAATTGTAAATAGTGTGTAAAACAATCTTATTTATCAATGCATTTTCAATGATAAATTCACATTGTAGACAAAATTATGGCATTAAGATGTAAAGTGTATATAAATGATGTTAGGCTACACGATGATTACAGGATACTTATGTCCCCCCACAAGAACTGTTTATTTAAGGAATGGTGAACCTCGCTTGATTTAAATTCTAAGCTTGTACTTTAAATATGTATTAAGGTACCATTTGGTTATTCATGCTTAGTTTACTTAAACAAGATCAGTGTAATCATTAGCAGCCATAATTTACTTATAATAAATTGGAATTAAAAATGAAAATCTTGTTTTATTTATTATACCAGACCCAGTTTTATGCCAGGTTGATTTCACGACTGATGGATTATAAATTACTACAAAAGTAAGTTGTAGAATGATAAAAATATTCTCAAAATAAAAATCTCTTAATAGAGTTGAAGGAAGACAGTAAAAATCTAGATAATAGTGATTTCAAAGACACTAATTAAGCTGATAAAGTATGAAAATATAATGAAATAGTTTAAAGGATCCATTCCGCTGGCAAAAGGGGCTACAGAAGCCAAGATAATCTGATCTTATGGCCAACTACATGGAACAGGTCACAGACAAAATGATTCTCTGGCATCCCCCTTCATTAATTGGCGTTAACACTTTTAATATTGTATGGTGATTATCGACTAACGGTCACTAATCACCACACATTTCAGAAAAACATTTTCTTTATTGTGCCAACGTTTCGATCTTTATTGAGATCATCCCAGGCCCTGAAGATGATCTCAATAAAGATCGAAACGTTGGCACGATGAAGAAAATGTTTTTCTCAAACCTACATCACACCAGACCGCATCTCACGATACCTGAATAATTACTTTTAATATTACTTGCAATATGACATTCAACTTATTCATGCTTGAAACCTCCACATATACATTATAGATGTCAGTGATGTTAGAAAATTATAACATTTATGTTTGCCAATAAATAACGATTTTCCCTTGCACATTATAAAAAAAAAAGTGTATGCTAGTTCAAACGGTTTCAGTTTGTACATTGTGCATATTTAAGCTTAAAACAGCCACACATAAACCGTATATATTAATTACATTCAGAAATAAAATAATTAAACAAAATATTATAAAATCCCCGTAAAATAGTAAAAACGTAATGTAATAGTATGTTAAAAAATAACATGCTTCAGCAATTAGTTTCATTTGTTTTAATCAGTTTATAAAGCCAAAACAACCAATTTTAAATTGTATTTATCAATTATGGTAAGAAATAAAAAATTGAACAAAATACTTAAAATGTCGTATTTGCCAAAAGATAAACATTTTCCCTTACACTTTATTAAAAAAATATATGCAAATTCAAACAGTTTCAGTTCATACATTCAGCTTATTTAAGCTTAAAACAACCACATTTAAACCATATATATCAGTTATATTTAGTAATAAAATAATTAAACCAAATATTATAAAATTGTTGTCTGCAAAAATAGTAAAAATTTTATAGTGTGTTAAAAATAGCATGCTTTTGCAATTAGTATCTTATGTTTTAATCAGTTTGTTGAACCCCAAAACAACCAAATTTAAATATTATTTATCAATTATGGTAAGAAATAAAAGAATTAAACAAAATATTGTACAATTTGTTTGTGATTGCCAATGGATTTTATTGATATCTGTGGTGATTAGTGTCGATGATTATTCAGAAATCATGAGATGCGGTTTGGTGTGATGTACGTTTCAGAAAAACATTTTCTTTATCATGCCATCGTTTCGATCTTTATTGAGATCATCTTCAGGGCCTGGGATTTACAAACATTGTTTAAATTTAACAAATACATGTAGGATGTAGAAAAAAGTGAACTTATAAAATGCAAAAAATATTTTTATATTCAATCAAAGTATTTGTACTCACTCAAAGGTTTGTTTTCTGCGTGATTATGCCATTCTTGCGTGTCGAGTTGAGAATGCCAGTGAGATATTGCTGTTTTGTGTTTATATACGTTGGATTTTAAAGGGGTGGGGAAGGAAGTCGGTATAGAAAGACATTTTTGTATAAGGAGTCGGCGTTTTTGAGTTGAAAAGAGCCGACGATGGGAAAATGGTTACATCACAGAATTATTACCCTAAGCCATAAATCATTTCACCACAAGAACATAAAGATATACAAACAGATCCTCCATAACAATCACTGCCCTAAACACATAAACAACAAGTACAACTCAACATTAACACCATCCACTAGTATTGGGTTGTCCGGAAAATAATGCAGGATTTTGGTATTAAACAAAAAAAAAGAAACTAGTTACTTTAAAGCAATGTTCTTTAATCAAAATAATTTCCCATACTCTCAATACATTTCTCCCAACGTGTTGGTAACTTATTAANTTACATCGGTCTTACATCCCAATATCTGGAAAAAGAGAGTAAAGCAACATATCTATGATTTCAAAAAACCCAAGCAAAATTCTACAGCACTCGCTATCCACCATTTTGACACAAACACAATTTCGACTTCAACAATCTAAAAATATTACACACAGAACAAAACAAACATAAACGTAACTTTTTAGAAATGGTTTACATCAACCGAGATAAACACAGCATCAATTACAGAACAGACACATGTAAACTCAGTCGCAGCTACGCCAATATTATTAATCAAATTCAATATCGAAAACATACATATATCATCACATCACACAAAACATTCAACACATTCCACACATCAAACATTTTTACATAGTCTAATTTTTGAACAATTTAGCTTTTCTTTTCCTATTCATCCCCGTCTATATAATCATGAAAGGATAATCTGGCCGAACCATTACCAACGTTTTTTCCCATCGTCAACTCTTTTCACCTCAAAGAAGCCGACTCCTTATACAAAAATATCTTTCTATACCGACTTCCTTCCCCACCCCTTTAAAATCCAACGTATATGAACATAAAACAGTAATATCTCACTGGCACTCTCAACACGACAAGCAAGAATGGCACAATCACGAAGAAAACAAACACTTAGAAGAAATACTTTGATGAATATAATAAAATATATTTTTTGCATTATATAAATTCACTTTTTTCCACATCCTACATGTTTTTGTTAAATTTAAACAATGTTTGTAAATCCCAGGTCCTGAAGATGATCTCAATAAAGATCGAAACATTGGCACGATGAAGAAAATGTTTTTCTCAAACCTACATCACACCAGATCGCATCTCTCGATTTCTGAATAATCATTTATTGATATCCTTCTTCAAACAATTTCAGTTTGTACATTCAACTTATTTGAGCTTAAAACAACCACATTTACACCATATATGTCAACAACATTCAGTAATAAAATAATTATTCAAAATATTATAAAATTGTTGCCTTTAGAAAAGTAAAAACTAAATGTTATAGTGCGTTAAAAAATAAAAACCTTTTGCAATTAGTATATTACATTTTAATCAGTTGGCTGAGGCCCAAAACAACCAAATTTAAATCTTATTTACCAAGTATGGTAAAAAATAAAAGTATTAAACAAAATATTGTAAAATTTGGGATTGCCAATGGATAAAGATTTTCCCTTACATATTATAAAAAACTATATGCTTTACCAGGAAGATCAGTGGAAACTGCTCTGCATACACTTGTAGGAAGGATTGAAAAATCATTATACAATAATGAGTACACCTTAGGATGCTTCTTTGATATCCAAGGAGCGTTTGATAATGCAGATACCTCATGCATTATAGCAGCACTAAATAAATATAACATTCACCAACACCTCATAGGATGGGTGAAAACATACCTAGAGGGTCGGATGGTAAATATGTGCTTAGGTAACAGTACTCTGAGAATCAGGGTCACTGGAGGCTGTCCACAAGGAGGATGTTTATCTCCTCTATTGTGGTTAATCACAGTAAACAGCTTATTAGAGCTTCTGAATAACTCAGGCTTNGAAACAAAAGAAGAAACGGCCCGACACTACCTCGCAGAATGCGATAGGTATGCTAGGGAAAGATTTAATACTTTCGAAGGAGAGGACATAACCAAAACACTCCCCAGGATAAAATGGTCCACAATCCTGGGGTTTGTGAATAGGTCCAATAGGTTTATACAGGACTCGTGAGCCGACCAGGTCCCGGACCTTCTAGGGATGGGGTACGGGCCTACTCAGGCTTTTAACCCCTCGGGTCCTGGTCGCCCGCCCTGTGTAATATATATATATGCTTCTTCACAAAGTTTCAGTTTGTACATTCAGCTTATTTAAGTTTAAAACAACCACATTTAAACCATACATATCTTATATTTAGTAATAAAATTATTAAACAAAATATTAATTTGTTGCCTGCATAATTATAGTGCGTTAAAAAATAACATGCTATTGCAATTCGTATTTTACATTTCAATCAGTTTATTGAAGCCCAAAACATCCTAATTTCAATCTTATTAAAATATAATTAAAATGTAGATAATAAATAAATATATAGGAAGAGACAAATGTAAATGGATATATGGGTATAAAATCATATCACTATGACGAGAAACAATTTCGAAGTGGAAATAAAGTTTTCTTATTTTTTACTTTTATTAGTGAAAAAATCTGTCAAAAATACATCAAATTTTAAAATCTTTCCAAGGATTGCAAAGGCATTAAACGGAGTTGATTCCTGAGAGAGGTGGTAACACTCAGTATTAAAGGGACAACTTTTTTTTTTCATTTTTCATTTTATTTTATTGTACTTTTATTTATTATGGCTTACAGAAATAATGTACAATTTGATAGTTTAACTATATGTTACGTACTTTAGAAAATTATATCACCCTGTATTTCCAGATAAATAAATATAGGTAGTTAACAAAAATAAGTTTCTCAGTGGATATTTAATTTTAATAGGATTAATCGATAATATATAAATCTATTTCAATAGAGAAGTTTAAGAGCTATGAATTAATGGAACTTTTGGTGACCGCCCTCACTTTGGTGACGTTCACTGACATCGATATTACAGCGGCAGCGCTACTGACGGCCACAGAAATAATGCAGAAACAGCTGTCAAATATTCCGCAGTACCGAAATCTTAGGTTGTTTTGTGTTTACTGTATTTTTTTTTAAAGTCTGAAGAGATTGTTCGAAACCTCGACTCACTGATAAGGGGAAAAACGCTGCTCAAATACTCTAAACCTTCCCTTATTTGAACAAAATCGCACATGGTAAATTGTAATCAGGGCGTTCCGTACGGTTTGAAATAGACCGTTTTTTATATAAAAAAGGAAATCTTATGGCTGGAATCGAAGGATATTTTGGACCCAATATGATCGACGAAGACTACGAAGAATTCTGCTTGAAAAGGCAACCTAAGAGGCCCAACAATATCGAATTGAGGAAGTTCCACCTTCAGCCCGTTGCACAAATGCCCGTCACTCCACACATCGATGAAGGTTCTATATTCATTTTTAATATATATTTAGTACATATTAATTTATCATAAAAATAAACTAGGGGGAAAATCATGAACTTCATCTCAAGCTCAGCTTAACTGCTTCATAGATATTATCTCCTCTTTGTCGATGTAGATGTAATAAGGTGTATAATCTACGTCACCGTTTAAGAGTTATAGTATCCCCGTTCTGTACCTATAGCACAGAAGTGAGTCCTACCTCATAAACGAATTTTAATTTGTAGTCACAATTTCAATGGTTGAATTACATTTGAGTGAAGTGTAGCATCACAGTGTGTTAGTAGTGCGTTGGTGTCTCTGCTTCCTTGGTGGATTAAACCAATCTTTCTCAGGTACCTATTCAGTCCACAGTCTCCTCTTAAGAATCCTGATAGGATTTGAAGTTTTTTCTTACAATTTTGATGCATTCTTTCCTCTCTTCCCTTCTGAAAGTTACTGGGATGTTCTTCGACGATCTGTGTACACAGTAAACTTCCTATTTCCTCATTTTAATCCTGTCTATTTTGTCTAACACCTGTACCCTTTTGTGGCATACCAAGTTGGCAAAAACTTGAATCCATCAGACAATGGATTAAGAATAAATACTCGGTTCAATGAGATTGTACTCCAGCACAGCGCAGCAGCAGAAAAAAAAGTTTAAAAAGTTCATGAAAGGACCATCGCATAAATTAACGCCAGAACTAGTAACCCTAGGCTATATTAGGACTACAATGATATGATAGTAGTACTGCTAGGATTATATAGATATAACTCAGAATAGCAAAAACAAGCCTGTAGAGAAGAAGAAACAACTGGACATGTCTTCTGTTGCTGCGAAGGCTTGTGTAGGCTGAGATTACTACTCCTGGGAAATGAAAAGCCCAGAACTGAAGGATATACACAGTAGTCCTTAAAAAAATTTTGGGATCTTATAAAAACCCTTTTTAGCTTTTTAAAGCTCTTCATTTTTAAAAAGCTAAAAAGGCAGTAATAGAGATTGGACAAAGAGACCAAGGTGTTAAAAAGGCCAACTTATTTTAACCATAACCACCTTTATAAATTAATTTTCTTCTGTTAAATTATGATTTGTTAATACTAAAACAAGTGTATATGTTTGTAGATACCACAATACAAAAATATGTCGGGATCGGTGTGAGCCTAGCTACTTTATTAGCTGAGAATCTTCTAAGCCATCCTTTTGTTGTTCTTAGAAGACAGTGTCAGGTATTTATTTTAAAATGAATAATCAAAACAACAAACTTATTTTTTCCATCTTAGGTGAACCACAATTCATATAAATACCACTTAGTCCCAGTGACCTTAGTACCGATTATAATGCACTTGCATCAAAGGCAAGGGATAACAACACTTTGGAAAGGAGTAGGGAGTGTGTTACTAGTCAGAGGGATGACTCTTGCAATTGAAGACCTGTTGAGCAAAGTTACAACTTGGCCTAAGTGCGTACGATAGAGTTTGACTAATTTGAACATTCCTTGAATAATTAGTTCAACTTTTCCAGGGAAATTTCATGGGGACATGGTTCTGTTAAAGCCGCCAGTCAGCATATACTTCTCAAATGGTACATATCAAATTAAGGTGATTTTTTTTCTTTTCCTAATTCGATTTTTGTTTTAGCGTTACATTTTGTATCATAACTCCATTTTATTCAGCAAGTTTAGTAGAAACTGTTCAAAGCGATATCGCTAGTGAGAAACCAGGGATGTTTGATGTATTTAGGGAAGGGGCCTACCGTCTTGTCAGCTTTGGCTCTCCTCAAAAAGGTTTTTTTTATTTTTTAAATTAAATTATTTTTAAGTAATAACACTGAACATTTCATAGGGCGAATGTTGCCAGTATGGACCTTAGTTATTCCTACTGTGATGTATGGCCTTCTTAAATATTTGTTTGGTTCAGTCATTAAAAACGTATCGTCATCTATAATGCACATTAACTATCGCCATGAACACCAGAAAAAGGTATTTTTAATTAATTAATTTTTTAAAATTTAAGATTTTAATTTTACTTACTTTCACTCAGGGTGCTTATCCAAAGGACTGGCTAAATTCTTCTATACTGCAAGAAATAGAAGTAACAGCGCAACTTATATCTCTAATTGCAGCTGATGTTGTATTTTATCCTTTGGAAACAATTTTACACAGGTTAATTAACTTTTTATAATGTTAAATTGCATATAAAAATTTATTGGAAGACAATTTTTTCATTTTCAGGCTGCATCTTCAAGGCACTAGGACTATAATAGACAATTTAGATACTGGATTTTCAGTAACGCCAATCCTGACAGCGTACGAAGGCACTCTTGACTGTTATGACACTACGCTTTCTCAGGAAGGTGGTGTCGGCTTGTTCAAAGGGTTTGGTGCACTTATACTGCAGTTCACGGCCCACTATGCTGTACTGAAACTAACCAAATTTATTCTCACACAAGTGACAATTTTGATTAAGTCGACAAACCAACCTCCCCAAACTAATTTTCCTGTCCAAGTGACCACCCCTGTGTCTCATAGTCAAGATTTGATCAGGACACCGATTAGGTAATTTTACAAACACTAACAGTACCTATTCTATTCCACCGTTGAGCAAAGTGTATGAGTTTAATCTGTACGTATTTGTACTAAATTTGGTAGGGGAGGTTTTGTAGGCAAGTTGATTTTATTTAAATGGTTTTATTCTCAATTTGTAAATTAATGTATATTTTGTAAATGATTTAACTTATTTCATGTCATTTAATTTTTATTGTATCATTAATTTTTATTTCTTCTGTTGAAACCTAAAAAAATTGTTTTTGTTATACACAACAACGGAAAGTTACCACCTGATGTTTAGAGGTGTTTGTTTGTTATTTAAACCTGTTCGATTCTTTACTTTTATTCCTAAATTATTTCCAATTAAAGATTTCTTTGTTTGTGGACAAATAATTACTACATACAGTACATGTCAAATAAATTTTGTTTACTTCATGTTTTGTTTTATATATGAAAAAATTTCCATATTGCAGATCACTGTGCCTGGAAATTGTGGCACACTTTCTTAATGTAAAAAGGATAACTCCAGAATACTATTAATAAAGAGAACAAATTTTGAATTTTTTTATTTTTATTTTTTAAATACAATAATACTTTTTTAAGTATTATTGTAACTGGGTTATATGTATAATTTCGTTTATATACAGTGAAGTCCCACTAACCTTAACACGGTTCAGTCAAAAGATATTTTTTTAGTTGGGAAAATATTGGTTTTTGTCTTTAATGGAAAGTTAGTTTGATTTTTCTCACAACAAACTCTACTGATGATTTTTTTTTCTACCCTTTCGTCCTAAAATAGAGAAGTCTTCTCGGTGATGACTTGTAGTTTGATCCCTCATAACATTTATTATGCCATCTTCAATAGTAGGCTTTAACCAAAATTATTATTAAACGCTGAAGATGTCAGGAAGCCAAAAGTGCTGGATACATAGACCAAAATAATCCAAAACAGATTAAACTATGCTATCATTTATCCAGCTTTTTTCAAAAATTTCAAGCTGTGTATAGCCCCAGCTCTGGTGTGTACCAGATCTGTATTACTGCTTGCTCATGTGACTCTACTGAAACGGAAAACAAATAGTTTTTGTTCATTTTTTACATGTATAAAGGGACCACACAGTAGTCGAGTGGGTAAAGTAGTTTTAGGGAAAAGTTATAAAAGTAAAGTTACAGCTTAAGCACTTTTTGTAATTTTTTTATACTTATGAAGGATAATAAAAAAGCCATGTAACTACAGAATTACTTTATTTTTAATTGCCAATAACTTTTGAGTCTATCCAACTGCATAAAACAAACCAAGTAAAGCACAAAGATCTTGCAGATTAATTTTATGGGATATCACCTAAAGGGAGATTTTTTCCAACCTTGTAAATATGAAGCACAACTGATATGTTTGTAATATTAGTATGACAATAAATATAATTATTCTGTCTAAAAGGAGAACTATAGTGAACAAACATGGATATACATCTCTTTAATAACAAAGATTATGCTTTCTTCAGACGCAAGAATCACAGCACAGGAAATTAAAAATCATTCCCATTGGTTTGCTCATTTGAAATTTTTATATAACAAATGCGATGTAGTTTTCTCATTGACAATTAATTAATTTTTATTCTTTCATTGTTATTAGCTATCAACATTTTTGGTATAGTCTTCATTGCCAATAGTCATTATAATATAAATACGTTACAAAAAAGTGCACTTAGGAATATATTTCATAAAAATAACAATATAAATAACCTCAAAATATGTCAAACTATTTCATGCCTTCAAAATTAGTATAATGTTCAAGGGGAACTGTAAAGGGAGGAAATGTACAAAAAAAAATTAACAACAAAAAATATATAATTATTTTACTTATATACTCCAAGTAACAAATATCATGAGAGATGCTTAAATTATAGCAAACCATATTTATTTAACAAAGTACCTCAATCTGTATGTATGAATGAATGTGGTATGAAAAAAATAAGTCTAACCTAAATTGCTGGTTAATTGAGAACATTAATAATTTTAAAACATAATTAACTCTGTTAAAAAAATAAATAAAATTTAAAAAACTCTTATTATGACTCAACATCCTCATCAGGGAGTTAATTATCTTAATTATAAACATTATAAAAACTCTACCTCAAAAAGAACCTGGGACAAAGATTTTTTTTTTTTTCAAATTAATATTGTATCTAATAAGGTAGATATATATATTCTGCATAACTTATAGTCAAAACTACTGTAAAAATTCATTATTTAAAGGAACCAGCCAATTAACTTTTAAATTTGGCTGGATATGCTACACTTATTTGTATGTATTGAGACATTGGCTAGTCTGACTATCATAATTAAATCCACTAGATTTCGTGGTCTGATTGACCAAATAACTTCTTTCAATTAATTAATCTTTATGTAAGGTATTAGTTGAAATAAAAAAGCTCTACTATTATTATTTATTATTTGGAGATCTTGAGATGTTTTAATTGTATTTTCTAATTTGGTGGTCAAAATTTTAATAATAATAATAATAATAATAATAATAAATAATAATAATTTCTTTACCTTTCTTTATGGAACTATAAAACGAGAATCAAATTTTATTTGAAAATATTGAATTAAAGATTCAGAGTTAACAAACATTTGGTGTCGTATTTACTTTGGTTTAAATGAAATATAAAAGGTGCCTGATCGATAAATGAAATAATTGTAGTCAGGTCCGATCGTAAAAAACCTCTGGGACCTTGTTTTCGGTTTTCCGAATTTTTTTGTTGGGCCCAACAAAAAAGAAGAAGAGACACGCTATATCACACATGAATATACACTTACATCTAATTCTATTTTACAAATGTGGAAAGTTACAACAAGAAAGTCAGTTTGTAAAGTACTAATACATTCTGACAGGGTTCCACACCTCGGGAAAACTCTTGCAGCGCTCTCACTGTGTTCACTGTCCAACAGAACCGTAACTGTGCAGTAGTTCAATTGTCTGTGGTGTTTGCTGAGAAGTGGGAGGGAAGTTTACACTGTGTAAGTGTGTACTGTGTTGAGGCGATTTTTGGTTTGGTGTTTTTGTCTGATGATCTACATCTAAAATACTACAAGATTATTGCCTTTACAATGGCAACACTTGATAGACAAACATTTCAGAAAGAGGTAAATTAAACATTTTAAAGAAAAGTTTCGGATATTTTTCTGCTAAGTATTTACTGAACGAATGTTGCCCATGTGGCTTATTGTGTACAGGCCAGGCCTAAATATTGTTTGGTTGTTTCTGTTTGATTTTTTTATTATATTATTATTATTTGTAAAAAAGTATTTATAAAATTTATTATTCTTTAGAATGACAGTTGGTTAGTTTAAACAGTGATGTATAAACAATAAGGCAAATGGACTTAGGTACAGTCTTAACCAGTAAACAAACAATTAAACCAACATTTAATAATTAATTTAATAAATTTGTATTTTTTTAGCCAGTTGAAAACAAATTCACTTTTAATACATTTATAAGAATAGATCAATTAATAAGTAAGGTCTTGTGGTGGAGATGAAAAAGTAGTGTCACGAGTGGGATTCGAACCCATGACCTTCGGCCCAATACGCCGTGCTTTAGCCACTTCAGCTATTGTGACTTCGATCCATCGGACACCGACCCCCCGAAATTTTTCCTCTTTTGGCCATTTTTCATCTCAACCAAGACCTTACATAAAAAGAATAATTAATTGAAATAATTAACATAGTCAATTCGACCATTAAACATAAATGAAATAATATAAAAACAGAATTGGTGATGGGTTTTGGTCTGTGAGTTGGAGGACTCATGCTGAACCGGTTCGTCACTGAAGATGGTGCAATGCCGAAATGCATTTGACTAACTCAAAATGGTGCAATAATTTGCAAAGCACTGTTTATGTGGTTTATTATTTTGAGATATGTGTACTAGATGCTTAAGGTTAAAAGGAGTCAGCTTTACCACCTTCTGCTCCGTGACCAATATTGCCCTATTGTGCTATCTTTATTATTATCTTGAGCTCTTTGTTGCTTTTTGTCAGATTCTAGAGCTTTGTTAATGGTTGACGTGTGTATCCTTCAGGCAAGGCTATTCCTCTCGCTGGAATAGGAGTAGGAGCCCTGCTTTTTCTGCTGCTCCTAGTCTATGTGCTTCTGGAGTCTGCAGTGTACATGAGAAGTTGAACTAATTTAGGTTTAGTACTAGTTAGTAGTTCTGTTGTCAGTTTCTGCAATGTTTCTTTAATGAACTTTTTCATCGCTGTCCAGGAATATATTCCCCTTGAACTGAGTAGTTACTCTTAACCCATGGTCTGATGGATTCACATGCCTTTGATGCTGACCCAAATGGCTGCAAATCTGGTCCTTACTACTAGTTAGGTAGTTGCCTTTAGTGCCGCTTGGCTGTCCATGTAGATGGTTATTCTTTTATTGGTACTACCTAGGTTTTTTTTTTAATTTATTTATTTCTTTTATCAAGTTGTACCTTACGTCCTTCTTTTGTGTGTAAAAGTAACAACACTGAAATTGTTTGGTTACATTATTATTTTACATTTGTTGCACCATGATCTCATTTTATTTTATTGAAGAACTGTTGGAGGTGACTTTCTGCTTTTGTGGTACCATGTAGTCTATACAGCAACATTAAACAAAAAATTTAATACTCATTAACTACAAAGAAAAAGAGGACAAATTAGTCAAGGAGGCAACAAGTAAAATAACTCTCTTAGATATTAACTGGGGGAGATGACATTAATCATTTTAAAATTGAAAGGCAGAGACTTTCAGAAGGTGGATTACACGTGAGAAAGCCTGTCACTGGTTCAGATCTTCTCAGCAAGAGTGGACTAAAATCTTGTTTTCGGATGAGTCAAAGTTTTGTTTGAGGTCTTCTGACGGCCGAGGGAGGGTTTGGAGAAAAACAGGAGAACAATAGTAAAAACTGTAAAGCAAATTTTTACTTATTTCAAGCTTTACAAAACTCTATCAATGGGCAAAATTTTACTTCAAGGACTACAGAAAACATATCGGAGTTCATAGCTCAAAAACCTGAAAAGTTCTGGAAGGGTAGAATTATAAAATGACATGGAAGATGGCTAAATGTAGTGTAACAAAATGGTTCATATATTGTCGATTAAATTTACTTACTAGTACTTGAAGTTTTTATTGAATTTACCAACAAAAAATGCTATGGACCTATTTTATGATGTGATATGTCATAAAACCTGAAGGCTATACTTACATCCTTAAGAATTATTATCTTAATATGATTAAAATTTAGAATATTATAATACATTCTTTAATTCATAAGGTAAATAAATAATTGCAGGTTGCATCAATGCGAAATGAAATTGAGAGGAATAGAACTGGCCTTTTCCAAAAATTAACAAGGGCTGCAATAAAATTCAAAACAAAAAGTGCTCCCGAAGAAAAATCAGAACATTATAAGCAAAAGGCTCAGCAAATAATAGAAGAAGCAGCAGAAGGAAAGGTAATAGTTAAATATATATATACATTTATAAGTGTAGTACTTTAACAATGTGATTTTCAGATGTTAGATAGAGATGATATCATTAAATTTTTGTTATCCCATACAGAAGAAGAACTTGAACAGTTACTTAAGGATGTAAGTATAGCCAAATTATTTTTTACTAGTATTACAGAACGCTTTAAAAGAAAATTATGTTAATTAATTAATTTTTTAAAAATAAATTACAGCCCAATTTACAACCTGATGTAAAGTTCAAAGCAAAAATGGGTCTGCAATATCCTTCACTTAGAAGTACTATAAACCACTTCCATAATAGGTATCCAGCATGGAAAGAAAGTTTACCAGATCTGTTGAAAGAATACAACCATAAACCACCATTGCAGAAAAAGGTGACAGAATTAAAAATAAATAATAAAGCTCAAAGGAGTGCGGTAAAAGAGGATTTTTCTGAATCACTGATAAGTGATTATTGCAATAATTGGTCTGTGACAGAAGATTTAGATATAACTCTAGTCCTTAATACAAACAAAAAGCGCATGAATAAATTCGATGATAATTCAAAAGGAATGAATCAATATGGAAAGAAAGGGAAATTTGTTCAAAGAAAACCATGTTCTAAAATGATGGACTTGCAACAAAAACATACAAACTCAGATTTTGCACTAAACAAAAGATTTGATAAATTTGATAAAACGTCAAATAAATCTTTTACAAAAAATAATGATTTTAAATATATAAAAACTCTTAATTCTCCTGAAAAAGATGCACTTTCCAAATCATATGATGCTGGCATGAGTACTAATGGTGACAGTGAGATGATGGTTGACAAAACTGGTTCTGAAAACCAAACGAACCCTAATGAAACTGTGCCAGTCAAGAAAAATCCTAGTTCCGATGTTGAAATGAAAGTAGAGGAATTAAAGGCTGATCCTTTTTTCATGACGAAAGACAATAAAGACTACATGACCTCATCCAAAGTTGAACTACCCAAAAGTGAAATACATGAAGACAAGGCTGATAATGAATTGAAGTCATATCATTTGAAAAATTTTAAGAACATGAATCAAAAACCTCCATACTTTAGTGACCAGAAGCCATTTGGCAATAAATTCAATAAGCAAGATTATTCAAATCGGTTTGGCAATAAATTCAATAAGCAAGATTATTCAAGTCGGTTTGGGCAAAATAAACCTAAGTTTAACTCAAGACCAACGTTCAGACCAGGTGGAAACTGGAATGGAAATTTTAAAAATAATCAAAACCCAAAAACAAGATATGTAAAGCTTCATCCATCATGGGAGGCTAAAAAGAAACAAATGGCAAGCCTAACTGAATTCAAAGGTAATAAAATAGTATTCAATTAAAACTTTTGAAATTTTCTGTTAAAGTGTAAAATGTATGTATACATACAATAATACAGAATTTTATTGTAATTTACTGTTTTTATTCCTGGATGCCTAAGACATAAGAATATATTCTGAACCTTTTGCATAAAATTTCCCTCTTTTTCCATCTTTTTTTAAGATAATTACTTTACTCCCAATTATTCTGAAATATCCAACTTAAGACCTTTTACCAAACCATATTTCATAGGGCGTTTAAGTCTTCCAATGTTTTTGTAACACATATGTTTCTTATGAATGTGGCAGTGTTAGGATATTTCAGGAATTTTGTTTGTAGCATCATATTTCATGCCATTAATAATGTATGATTTATGATTCAGTTGTCGAGTATGGTAGAGCAGTAGCGTATTAGGGCGAAGGTCGTGGGTTTGAATCCCGCTCATGGCACTGACTTTTTTATCTCAACCAACACCTTACATAAAGATTTAAATTTAATTTCATTGTTATACAGTCCATTGCCACAGGCGCAATCATTTGGTCCCTATCAGAACGGGTATAGAACTTTGAAAATTTCAATTAGGGACATCGGCATCCTGTGCAGGTTGATGGAACTGGAATGGAAGCCATTTTGTTTTGATGTTAGTCGTTTTCATCTTGTTAAGTTGTCGTTTGCTCATCAACCTAAAAGCCAAAGAAAAAAGTAAACTATTTCGAATTCAGAGATTGTACGATTTCAGAGGAAAGACAGTGGAGTCGGGTAACATAGACAATTTTAAAACAGCATATACGCTTCTGTCAAAGATGATGGATGAATTTAACAATTTTTGAATGAAATGAGAGTAAAATGAAAAGAGGTATTGTTAGATGGTGTTGACAATTATGTTCCCCAATTTTTCCACTTCAACGTTGGATATGGTTGAACAGATAGAATGGGTTGTAGAAAAGGTAAAAGCGCAACCGCCACCCTCCCTGAGTGCGGCATCATCCTTATCACCGTCTCTGGTAACTAATCCGTAAAACAAAAAATTGGAAATTCCCACCTTTAATGGTTCTCAATATTCGTGGCCTTTGTTTTATGAACTATTTAAAATTTGTGATGAGGATGACAGCTTCACCAACCAGGAAAATTTTTAACATTGAACGCCCGCATTGACTGGAGCAGCCTTTAGTGTTTGTAAAATCTTTAAGGTGTGAATAATAATAAATAATGAAGCTATATGGAAGGCCTGGATTGATCGCTTTAATGATGAAAGAACACTGGGGACTACCCATTTCGAAAAAATATTTAGTTTTAAACCTTTACGATCAAAATCTCAAGAGTCTTTGAGATTTTATATTGTTTAACCGAAGTTTAAATATTTTGTAGCCGATAAGCAAAACAGACTTTGAGGCTGTTTTCCCAGATAAAGATATGCACACTTATGAGGACTGTCAAGTTTCTTGAAAAACAAATTAAAAGTTATGACTCAGGACGAAGGCAAGTCTCAGACTATCCCCAGTCCCAAAGGCAGGATTTAAATCCACACGTACCTTTGTTGTGGAACTCCTTCAAAAGAGTGCAAAACAATCATGTCTGTTTGTCGGAAAGACGCCCATCCTTTTCAAAGTTGTCTGGACTTTCGAGACCCCTCTCTTTGGCTACAGTTTGGCTAACTCACAAATTGTCAGAGTGCAAAGGCAAAAACAATGGTAGGCGTTGCCAATTGCCAGACCACAATTTGCTACATTTGAAAGATCTTCAGTCAGAAAAGATCACTCCCACTCACACAATTACTTCAACTCCGATGGGCTGGCTTTGACCACTCTATGTTTGTTGAAACAATCTAGTATGGATAGTGTTGGAAATAATCAGTCGATCATTTTATCGACAATCGTCATAAATATTCCAGGAAACGGGAGGAAGAGTCAGGATTTTTTTGGTATCTAAGATTTTTCATTAGATTCAGATGTAGAATAGCGGCGTATCAAGCCGAAGATCGTGGGTTCGAATCCCGCTCATGCCATTGACTTATTTATCTCAACTAAAAACCTTAATTAATTGTAATTTTTCATTAGTTTCAAAATTTTATTTTTACATATTTAATACAATTGTGGAGCGATAGGTATTTGAGATCTAGTTGAAATAGTCACATACATCAATATTCAAAAAGCAACTCATACCTCAACCAGTAGGTGAAAATCTAAAAACAGGTTAAAACTACTTTTTCGAACTTTCTTGAATTTTAGATGTTTCAGTAGTTTCAGAAAGTTCTTTTTTACATATTTGATAAATTTTCTGAATGGATAGTATCTGAGATCTAGTTGAAATTGTCGAATACATCAATACTCTAACTCACAAATCACACCTCAAGCGGTAGGTGAAAATTTGAAAACAGGTTAAAACTACTTTTTCGAACTTCCTTGTATTTTAGATGTTTCAGCAGTTTCAAAAAGTTTTTTTTTACATATTTGGTTCACTTTCTGAAGGGAGATCTAGTTGAAATTATCGAATACATCAATACTCTAACTCACAAATCACACCTCAAGTGGTAGGTGAAAATCTGAAAACAGGTTAAAACTACTTTTTCGAACTTCCTTGTATTTTAGATGTTTCAGCAGTTTCAAAAAGTGTTTTTTACATATTTGGTTCACTTTCTGAAGGGAGATCTAGTTGAAATTGTCGAATACATCAATACTCTAACTCTCAAATCAAACCTCAAGCGGTAGGTGAAAATCTGAAAACAGGTTAAAACTACTTTTTCGAACTTCCTTGTATTTTAGATTTCAGCAGTTTCAAAAAGTTTTTTTTACATATTTGGTTCACTTTCTGAAGGGAGATCTAGTTGAAATTGTTGAATACGTCAATACTCTAACTTGCAAATCACACCTCAAGCGGTAGGTGAAAATCTACAAAGAGATGAAATCTACTTTTTCGAACTTGTTTTATTTTAGATGTTTCAGCAATTTCAAAAAGATTTTTTTACATATTGAGTACAATTTCTGAAGAGGTAGTATTTGAGATCTAGTTGAAGTAGTCTAATACATCATTATTCTAACACGCAATTCACACCTCAACCGGTACATGCAAATCTAAAATCCGGTTAAAACACTTTCTTGTTCAAAGTTTTTTAGTACTTTAGATGTTTCAGTAGTTTCAAACAGTTTTTTTTACATATTAGGTACAAATTCTGAGGTGATAGGTATCTGAGAACTAGGTGAATACTTGAGTAGATCAAAACCCCAACTCGCAACTCCCCCAACCAGTAGGTGAAAAAGTAAAAACGGTTAAAACATCTAGATATTTCAGTAGTTTCAAAAAGGTTTGAAATAGTTGAATACATCAAAACTATTCTTGCAACATATACGTCAACCGGTAGGTGAAAATATAAAAAAACGGTAAAAAATCAACTTTTTCTAAGTTTTTTGGTATTTTAGATGTTTCACTAGTTTGAAAATGTTTTTTTACATATTTGGTGCAATTTCTGGAGCGATAGGTATCTGTGATGTAGTTGAAGAAAGTTCGACTCTTGTTGGATTGCGGCAGCCAATCAAATCTTTTCAAGAACTTGGGGGTTCCAATAGAAAAAGTAAAGTAATCTGTTCTCGGTTTTGAGGGAGCAAAAAGCTTAGTTCGAGGTAAATCAACTTACACCATCATTTCTCGATTTGACCAGCAGAAGGGGTTCTCCAATTTTTCGTCGTGGAAAGAATTGTCTATATACTTCCTTCCGCGAGGTTGGACATTTCTTCGTTGGATTACTTGCAACTGGGGGAAATCGATGGAATCCTGTCTGCGGAATTGTTCCCTTACATTATGGGAGGAGCTAGAAATAAGCTCGTCTTCAAATTTGCCAGTTGCCATACAAACACAATTTGGTTTTGTGGCCATACTTCATAGGCAAAGGATCAAGTACGAAGAATTCTGCCGGTAGAAGATTCAATTAAACAGTTTTGGGAATTAGAAAACCTACCTCTACTTCCAGAAAATTCTCTCAACTCTGATTCAAAAGAGTGCGAGAGGTTTTTAAATTTATTTGTTAAACGGGATAATTTGGGAATGTATATCGTGGTGCTCCCGGTACGAGAAAATCCGTCTTTGTTGGGTAATTTCTTCGAAACCGCCAAGAGACGATTTTTGAGTCAGTAGAAAAACTTTTGTAGGTCCCCAGCCTTAAAAAAGGAATATAGTGCTATTTTCCAAGATTACTTGGAACAATCAGTATGTCTGGAGCACCCATTCCGAATCTGGTAAAGGAGAAAGGATATTTTATTTTCATACAGTCCATTGTCCCAGGTGAATAAGTAAGCGAATGGACAAATAAATAAACATTAAAATAATACGAATAAGGATAATAATATATAAATAAACAAACTAACTATTACACTATAAACCTAAATTATTTTAAAACATTAATTGTAAATTTAAACAATGGTCACACAGTCTCTATAATTTAATGAGTCATTCACTAATAAGTATATAATGAATCCCCATGGTGGGTGTGTTGGGGATGGTAGCGTTGTAAGGGGTGCGAACTGCCTGTTGGGCAGAGGATGGCTCATGAGGAAACCTCCGGGTGACAATGAACCCACAGTGACATGATGAGGTGCTAATGAGGGAAAGATGCTGGCGTCCCTTGAAAGAAAGAACAGTAGGTACTTCGGCCGTCCCTTGCTCAAGGGCATCTGGCTCCCTCCTGATTTCTAGTGTCGTCGCGGTGTGTCTCTTGCTCATTGTGTGTAAAAAAAGAGTGGAATAATGTTAAGATAGCTCTAAAGTGGCACATGACCTTCCAATTACTAAGTCGCAAGAGTATCTTCACATCTTGATTCCGAGAAGAAAAAAGTAGCAGAAGCCTGGGCCTAATCTGAAGACTGGCAACTTTGTTTTGTGAACTCCTCTCCTGTCATGGCCTATTAGAAGAATCAGTCAGGTTCATCCAGGATCTGACATCACAAGAGAGTCACCATAAAATTACCTGCTGGAACTTACATCCGGCTAGTTCGTTCCCTCACTTCCCTCCCTTCACCTGATTTATCTAAGTTTTAAATTTAAATTTATCTAATTTCATTTGACTAATTAACTCTTCAGCGTCCTTCTTTTGTACTCCCATTTTTCTAAATTTTATTTTAATTATAAAAATTGGTGGGCGGTATGTTTCGGACAGATATATATATATATAAATTTTTTTTTTAAATTGTTGGAATGCGTGGGCATGCTACTTTCAGAAGATTTTTAATTGCGTCTTAACCTTTTCTCGCCTCTACAATTCCTAGTGTTTCCTTCTCTCTTGAGTCTTCGCTATACTCAGTTACGAGAACACCTCTTATGTTTTTTCCCTGATTTACTTAAATCAAGTCCTCTCTTTGCCAAAATCATCCGTCTTCTTTCTCAGAATACCATGGAGCTCCAGTTAAAGGATTCGTGCCCGAACTCTCATCCCCGTCTCATCTGCCACAAAAAGTAACTGAGTAAGTAACCCTCCTTTTTGTTTCTTCTCCTTATTTTTATTTTATTTTGACATTTTATTTCTCAACCACATTCCCTCCTATTGTCTATTTTTTTTTCTCTTCTTTTCTTAAGAAAGGGTGCACGCTCAACATTAATAATAATAATAATAATAAAATTTTTAGTTTCTGATACTTTTCAACAAATAAAAATGTTTTCAATTTCACATTTCTTAATGGACAAATTGAAGAAAAAATGTGGTAGGAAGACAATCAAAGCAAGATTTGGTTAACTTTTGCAACATAAATAAAAGCTGAATGGGTGAAGTCAGTGATGAACAAATGAAGACAACTTATTCACGTTCCTGAGTGAGTTGCAGGATCACCAGGGCACAAATTAAAAAATAATCGAAAGATGAACTGATGGAAGATATATTTGTATTAAAAAGGAAAATGTATGAAAAATGGCAAAAAGGAGGGAAAATCCGAAAGGTTGTAGGTTGAGATGGGGAGTTGTCCGAGTGGATCGAAGTCACGATAGTTCAAGTGGTCAAAGCGGCGGCGTATTGAGCCAAAGGTGGGTTCGAATCCCGCTCGTGACACTAATTTTTATTTCAACCAATACCTTACATAAACAGATTAAATAATTGAAAGAAGTAATTTGGTCAATCAGACCTCTAAATATAATGGATTTCATTTGAATTAAAGTTATAATTCTGCGTCATCGGAGGCAAAACTGGATAACTGCATTAGGCTGGTGCAAAAATAATGCAAGGTTACTATTTGTACTGTACTATTTGTAATTTTGTTGAAATAAAAAAAATTTATTCGAAATATTTTCCATCACAATCTCCACACATTTGCCAACGTGTAATAAGTGTTTTTATTCCGCTGACATAAAAATCTTTATTTCGATACACAATAAAGTCTTCTTGGAAGGCGTTTTCGTTTTCACTGCCTTCACTAAAAATTTTATCGCTCAAGAAGTGATCAAAATTTCAAAATACCTGAAAGTCCGTAGGCGAGAGGTCTGGTGAATATGGAGGGTGCGGTAAGGTTTCATATCCTCATAAGTCCTTAAGTTCCAAGTCTTTAAGTTTCTGCAGGGTTGGCATTGCCACATGTGGTCTGGCGTTATCGTGAAGAAGAATCGGCCCCTTATGATTAACAAGCTAGACAAAGATGTTGCAATTTCCGGTGCATTTTGTCAATTTCACCATAATTCAGCAAATTATAGTGAACAATCCTAGCAGTACACCAGCGAACAGTCACCGTAACCTTTTTTGGGTGCAGATTTGGTTTCGGGAAATGTTTTGGCGCTTCATCCTTGTCCAACCACTGACCTGTACGCCTCCTGTTAAGGTACCGAATCCATTTCTCATCGCACGTGATAAATCGATCACAAAATGGATCATTTGGTGGCGCAACAGAAGAGACGTCTAAATTTCAAAGCATCAATTTCTTTGGGCTTCGGCTAATTAGTGCGGTACCCACGGCTTCTTTACTTTACCAATTTGCTCCAGATGGGGAACAGCATCGGTTGAGTGGTTACTAAACTCTTCCACAGTTTCCTTTGTTGTCTTACGTGAATTTTCTTCAATCAACGTTTCGAGTTGGTTGTTGTCCATAACGGAAGGCCTACCGCGACCTCCCCTGTCTTCGAGATCGAAAGTTCCAAGATAAAATATGTGAAACCATCGCTACACCGTGCATACGATAATGCTTCCCGTATGAAAACTGTAAAGGTTTGGACTGCACTGCGCCCAGGTTTAAATTCGTACAAACAAATTGGACGAAAATCTATTGTGGACATATTTAATTTAGCAGGTCCTCAATCTTTTAAAGTTCAGTATAAAGTAAAATGTTTTGTACAAAAGATAACAGTTAAAAGTATTTATTATAATCCATAAATTAGATTTGAGAATTTACGTTAATGCAAATAAAACAAAATTTCCAAACTGCATTAATTTTGCACCAACCCAATAAAATTTTGGCAAAATGAGATGAGTCCATATTGCAGTAAGTTATTAAACCTGTCATATTAGGTATAATTAATTAAGTCGAGAAGAAAACGCTGAAAAGTTACATTACCATTTCGATGTCTGTTTCGTAACAAGGTAATTAGTGCAGTTGTCTGTAAAATATATTGGTTTTTATTACAACTTGACTTATCTCATTGAACTCGTCTAGCAACACAAAGGAATATGTGAATAGTTGCAAAAGAGGTGGTACAATAATCAGCAATTGCCCTAAAGTATATGTACCAAAAGGTCAAGGTGAATTTGATGAAATGTGAGAACAATAAAAAAAGTTACCACAAAAATTAGATATGTGTAAATGTCTATAATTTAAAATCGCAATCTTGAAAAGTTTGGTTTTTTGACTTATCCAGTTTTGCTTTAAGTATGCAGAATTAACTACAGAAGTAAAAAACATAACTAAGTGAAATCCAACGTAAATATTTAATTATAATGAAAGTACAACATAAAAATGATGTAACAAATAAATAAAGGAAAGAGCTGTGAGAGAAAATTTAATGTATGGCCTAGTTGTGAAGGTTAGCAAGGCTAGCCTAACCTAAAAATATATCCACTTTCATTAAAAGCCACTTGCCTTTAAACTAATTGCATATGATAATTCCTAACTTTCTTATTGATCTTTGAAAAATGAAATTAAATAAATTTTAGGGTAAATAATGAGACAAAAATATAATATTTACCATTCTTTGAAAATAGCAATGAATTATAACAGAACAATAATAATATTAGGAATAGTAATAATTAACATTTATCGTCTTATACAATTTACAAATAAATATAATTCAGAACTCTTTAAAAAAAATTTTTTTCTCATGCATTCGTACAATATTATCAATATAAATCTAGTTAGTAATAGACACCATTTATTAATACATAGATTATAGTAATTTATGTTTATTGATTTAAAATGAGTATACACATTTGTAACACTCATCTTGTTGAATATTATGCCAGTGTCTACTCTTGGTGATTTTGTCATTGCCAATGTTTTGTCTTATTCGTATGACCATTTTCCAAATTCTGCTATCCCAAAAAGAAATAGCGTTTTTCTCCGATCTTTCAGAATACTTTTGACATCTGTGTTATAGCATGTTAAGAATTTTTTGGGCAAAGGAGAGTAGGTAAAATTTTCTGGTTCTGTAATTGAATCAATGGAATTGACATAAAGCTGTTCACAGGAATGTTCGTAACAACGCCACAACCCTGGCTTTTTAAAATTTATTTATAGATACGTTACAATATTTATTAGCGCATTCACACCATGCTCGTACAAAAATTGATTAAATCCATAGCAATCAACAACATAAAATAATAATTTTTAAAGATTTGCTTTTGAAACAGAACTTTTCATTTACACTAGCTAAAATTAAATGTTGGTGCTCCATAAATAAAATTAATTTGGAAGTAATTTTATATTTACATTTCACATCTACATTATATGTTGTTATATTCTTTTAAATTATCAGTTCGCTTTGTTTAAAAGTAAGTTTACATCACTGCTTTTTTTGACAAGTCCTGTAATTAAAGATGCCCGCTTTGCCAGTGACCAAGAGACACCTTTTCTTAAAGTGTCTTGTATACAATTTATCACAACACCTGAATTATTAACAAAACAGTTTAATCAATGTTAAGTGAATGTTAATCTTGTTAATATAAATGGTGTTTGCTTTAAATCAATTGGGAATGATCTCAGAATTTAAATTTTGTAAACCACTTTTTGACGTCTCACATATCCACTTTTACACGTCTTATGAGTAAGTTTGACAATATTTTATTTAAAATTCAAAATACATAAATATCATAAATTCAATTATTTACATTCTTTCATGAATTTTCCGAGACAACAAACATTTTGTTAACAATCATTATATTTTCAACAAAAACCTTTTTTTGTAACTAATCCCACAATGAAGTGTTTCAACACTTTAAACATTGCTCTTTTTTCACTCCTTTATTTCTAACATCAAGATAAGAATTTTTTAAACTGTACATCTTATATAAAACAGTAAACATCTATGTGATTTATTTAGCATTTCAATTTATATTAATCATGCCCAAATCACTGACATTTACACTACTTTATAAATGAGACACAAAAATATATGAACTTCGAAGTTGAAAGTACGCAAAAACATCAATAGCTGTTGTAACATACATTCAATTTACTTATTTAACTGAGTGAAAATTATTTATGGGTAACTTTCATAAAATCTAATATAGTATAAATTATCCTAAATTATAAATTTACAATTTTTTTAAATGTTGAAAACGGAGGAATGAATTTTGATTTTAATGCGTATTGTTTTATATATATATATTTTTTATATATAATGTAGGATTCTTAATAATATTTTTTAAAATGTATATACAATTTTTAGTGGTTCTGTTAAAAAAGCAATAATGATCCACTAAAATAAAATAGTTGTAATTGTAGAAACGTAATTGCCACAGTTTTATTGGACTGTGTGACACAAAAAATATACAATTTTTTGATTTTGGAAGTTTATCCAATTCTCAAACTAACCTAGATTATTGTTAACTTATTATAGTTTACATTTCCCAGCAGGTTTACCCTCAAAAACATGCATTGGCCTACAACACAAGTCATTCCTGTACTAGGAAAAAGGAACGGAAAGAGAAAAAAGGAACAAATTTCATAATAGGCAAGGTTTGGGAATCATGGAATTTTAACATCATTAATATATATATATATTTTCACCATTCAGGACTGCAATTGCAATTTTACTGGGGTTCACTCAGTCTGTTTATGAGCAAGTGTGTAATGAGGCTGGGTAAGGTACTCATGTAAAGATGATGTGACCCAAAATGCCGATGGCTATGACAGCTGCAGTCGCTGTCCTTGGTGGGAGGCAGGCGCTCAAGCCCAAACCTGCTGATAGTGGACCCCACCACCTTCCAGGGATTGGCGAGGCTGAATTCTTTCCCCTCTGCATAGCAGCTGGATGCTCTCCTGGCCAAAACAAAAACACTATACATTTCTGATAATTTTGTACAAATCACAACAATTCTTTCTTGGAAAAAAAATGTTCCAATAAAGAATGTCTTAAGAATTTTATAGTAGTGGAGGTTATTCAAAAATTTAATTAATTTAAAAAAATGTTTTTTATTTATTCATTTCTTATTAAAAACAGTTGTTTGCTTTAAAAGATCTCTAGTTTTAATGTAGAATTAGAATACCAATTTCTACTGAAAAAAATATATATTTTGAGACAGTCGCCCCCTAAGCGCAAACGTAGCTTGGGTTTCTTCTAATAAAATTTCTTAAATTATTAAATTATAAAAATTATTATTAGAACAAAACTTGCCATCATTCAAAAATGAAAGAATAACCAAGGCGGCTTCATGTGGAAACATCACGAATTTATAAGCAGTCAACATCATAGGAATCCGTAGACCTAATTATTAAAAAAAAATCTTTCATGAAAAAATGACTTTTACCACAAGGAATTTCTACTATGTATGATCTGCCAAAAGAATAATTTATTTAGATAAGAAAGTATTTATTAAATTATGAAAGTTTATCAATTTGTAAAACAAAATCTCTACCCAATATTTATCTCTTTGTAAAACTGACAATTAAAAATAATTTTTGTACACAATTATATTGTTGTAGTGTAATATAATAAAAATCCAGAAATCCTCATACATTAAATTATAAAAATTATTATTATATTATGGCGAAACTAATTTTTTAATCATATTAAAAGCTAAGTGTAAACAAGGCGATTAGCTGTTTGCTTTGTGCGGAAGCAAAACATCATGAATTTATCAGCAGTTTGATCAGCAGCAGTCAACATTGTGTCCGACTAAGGACAAACAGGGGGAATCGTGGACCTAGCAATTATCATGATGATTAAACTTCTGACATCCGTTCATCAAATCTGCAGTTGCCCAGTGAAACGCCAAAATCGTGAATTTTTCTCATTTATATTTAAATAAAATTTGATTCAAAACCTGACAGCATGAAATTATTAATTATTAAAATTTATTTAATCTATTAACTATATGTTTGCTTTGCTATAATTAAGCTCATTTACAGTTCTTTGTTAGTAAATTGTTTTAAAACCTGGTAGTGAGAAATACCGAAGAAGAGAAATACGAAAGAAAAAAAAATTGTTTTAGGATCTGAAATTAGAAAAAAAGAAATCATAAACTACCTAATTGACAACGGCTATGCAATAATTTTATTGTTTTGGTAATGTTGGATCATAAATTGTTTTCCATTTTGGTAAATGTACAAAACAAGAAAAGTACGAAAAATGTAGTTTGGGTAGATAAATAACACCGAAATGAATGACATTGCTTGCTGATTTATTTGATAACAATACGGCTAAAATAATAATAAAGAAAAAATACGCGCTAGCATGCTTTATTTGCATATGTTTATTTAAAACTGGTGAATATAAATTTTTACTTTTAACTATTGCAGGTTATAAATTAGTTTTTAAAACATCTATAGCAGTTTGCAAAATTTGATCTTTTTGCCACATGTAACAAAAATGTTCACGGTTTACAAAAAAGAAGCATATTTCCACTGTTCCCTGTTATAATTAGACATTAAATTTTTATGAAGAAATTTTCATCTAGTTTAGATATAATTCACGGCGTTCAATTCGTTAGTTTTACGCGACCGAGCGGTCATGATGGTTTAGTATAATGTAGAGCCGCTAAGAAGAGGGAAATTTCATAATTTAATAATTTATCAAGGCCTTAATATGACAACAATAATTTGTAATCATCTTAGCATAGTAAATTTTTAAATCCGTCTACAAGCTTGAGTATTTATGAGTATTATTCTAGTAAAAATTACAATTTTAGCAATATTTTTTTTTAATTATCATTTATTATTGTGTATTTATTTAAATGAGGAGTGTACGTAAAGTACAAGAAAGAAAGAATGAATAAAGGAGGGAGGGAGAGAGAGAGTGTAAGTGAGTAGTGATTGAGTGAGAGTGAGTGAGTGAGTGAGAGNGAGAGAGAGAGAGAGAGAGAGAGAGAGAGAGGGAGAGAGAGAGGAGAGAGAGGAGAGAGAAATTAAAATTGATAAAATGAATCATAAACGACATAATTGACAGTAGTTATGTATTAATTTGTTAAAAATACTAAGTTATTTTAATTAAGAATTTTGGATTAGAAATATTTCTAAACAAAATGATAATCGTGTTTTTTCAGTGAGGGAATAAAGGCTGGACATATTCTAGGGTAAATATTGACTAAGGTGACCGTGTGGAATTATTCACATATAAATAGCCCAAACAGCCGAAGAACCCTCTCAATGAAATTTGCTGTATATAATATAGGCTAAAGGGCAATCGGGCTCTTTTCAGTATACGCGATATTTTTTTAAAGGCCACCTCCTTGAAAAAGGGAGAAAAAATCCTTTTAAAATTCATTTCGGTACGGTTTGCACGATATCGTTTTCTCGTTTTCATGTTTTATCTATCTGTTATTAGTTATGTAAAACAAGTGATGAAAAAGCGGAAATTGCTTTTCCATCTCTTGTTCCATTTTGTTTAGTTACAGTGTTTTGCCAGAGTTATTCAAACGGAATCGTTTCAGCGCCATCTAAATTAATTCGAACTGTTAGATAGATACGTTTTCGCTTGGCAAATAGACTGAACAAATTGGTGAAATTACTTTTTCGGTCGTCAAAAGATTTGCGATTTGAAATTGCTCGGATAAACATTCAGAAACAATCGAGGAGGTAAAAGGTTCTACGAGAATGAAAACAATAAACGCGATAATATTTGTAAAATAGGTAAAAATATGGATATACTGTTGGTCTAGATGTCAAACGCTTTTGTAATTTTGCTGGTGACTTGAGCAATTGTTTTTTAAATTTCGAATTTAAATAGTGAGATTTTCTTTTGTGTTCTGCGGTGTGAAGAAAACATATTTTTACCCTAATCGATCATCGTGGTCTGCCTATCTTTGCTCGGTTTCGGCATTTCATCATCGTCAGCTTATGATCTGTGTGTTAAGTTGATTTGTATGAAGTCTCTTTTAAACGTTCGCAAGAATTAAGTCTGGGTTTTTTTTATTGTGCCGTATTACACTGAACATGACGAATTACCGAAAGACGACTGGCAGCTCAAGCCAGCGAGGATACCAAGGCATGGACCAATTTTTTTTAAAATGAGGGTTCGCAACAGCAGAGGTCATATCAACCCTCGGGGTAACCTAACTTGTCTATCCCTAACGTTAACCTTCCCTAACTTAACCTAACCCAACAACCCCTTTTTACACCCGTTGACGCGACATCAATGACGTGATAAGGGGAACACATAAAATTGTGTATTCAGCCATGTTAAAATGTCTGTCATTTAGTGTAAAACGAGAAATGGGCTAAATTTATAGAGAAGTACAGTATTTTTTAAACCTAAATACTGGAGGTTTTTAGGTTATGTACTTTTCTACATCATCAGAAAAATTCATTTTTTAAGAAAGTGCAAGCGGCTATAAAATATAGTTCTTTCAATTATGCCAATGAAATTTTCAAAATTTGTGTTGATTTCTGTCAACATAACTATTTCTGTAATTTTGTTCTTTAAAATATATCTTTATTTTTCATTTTCATTTTTTATTTAGAAATGGTTATTAGATCCATTTTAATTAATTACCTTCTGGAGTTATTTCTTAGTACTTATAGTTGTATATCAATCTGAGAACTAATATGTGGAACCATTAAATGATCATTTAGTTATTTTTCATATATAATTTATTCCTTCCCTAATGCTACTTTTCGTTTTTCTAGTAGTTTATATGTTAAATAAACGTATAACGTTGTTATTGTGAAATTTTTAACAATTTATGTTTATTTTTTTTTTACGAGGGTTCGCCACAGCAGAGGTTATATAAACTCTCGCGGTGCCGGTGTTTTTGAAAAAAGCCCGTTTTTAAGTATGTCGGGTTTGAATGTAGGGCCGCTGGATTCGAATCCGGGACCTTTACCTTACAGTGATGAGCGCCGTGTCAACGCCTAAACCGTTGCAGCCACTGACGCCCCCAATTTCTGTTTATTGTTAATTAACTATGCCAATCGCAAAAGTTTATTTTGTGGTTTTCCTAATATGCACAATTTTTAACTTATCCAGCATTTCTCATTATTAGCAGTGCATTTGGTAAGTTTATAGATGTACGAACTAACCAATAAACATAATTGCAGAATTTTTTTCTCTTAGCCCTTCTTGGCTTCGTACTATCGTACACCTTCTAATTATTGCATAATGGTAAAATGAATTTTTAATAAAGTTGATTTTTTATGCCAAATATACCACATCTTTAATTTTATGAGTGAGTGTTTTTTTTCAATAGTACAAAGTTTTCTTTTTTATTAGTTAGTTTTTATTCACTTTTAATAGTATTTATATGTAAAATGCCATTGTTTGCTTAAACGTACATATGTTTAAAGATTGTTTAGAGATCGAGAGATGCGGCCTTGTGTGATGTAGTTTAAACGGTATGTTTAAATACATGATTGTTTAATATTGTTGCTGATTGTATAATTACATTAACCTCATCATTGAAAACGTTTGCTGATGGTTTATTTTGTAAAATCTAACGCTTGCATGTTTAATTATTAATGGTTTTTAAAGCCGATATTCCGATATGTTCCTCATCTTTTGTTTCTTTGGAGAACAAAGTGCTTAGTTTTTTTTCTTCATTTTATAATGCATTTTGTCCATTCGAAGTTTGAAGGGTAACTGGCGGATTCTCCGCTAAGCCGGTTGAGCTCCTTTAATTTTTCAGTAATGGTTGTGGAGTACCAGCGGGAAAATCCTAGCCGGATAAAAATTACTCCGGCGGAGCCTGAAAAAGTGGCGTCATGCGAGGCCGGAAGTTGGGAAAGCCTTTAAATTATTTGTGCCTCTAATTGTAAGACCAGAAAATACGATCCTACCTGACGCTTTATTTTTAATTAAAGATCCATGAATTTAATGTTCAATTCTC